ATGTATGAAATTGTAGATTGAGTGTCTAAAGCACACTTAGCACGTTCATTATAATAATTCCGATACAAAGGTTGTCATGGAATTTTCCGTATTAGAAAATAATCGTATGCGAAATGCGCACGAGGGAAGAATGGACGACAATAAAGCATGCTTGATGAATTACACGCCGAGTAAGCGAGCAACCCTCGCATTTAAACGTTTATATGCGATTTATCGAGATACCGCAACACGATCGTGTTTTACGAGAGGAGGAAGTAGAAACTCTCCTTGCTAGGATGATTAAGCCTCGTTAAAGATGTAACACATTCTTCTTTTACACATACATATACACATCGAGAACACAAATCTTAAGTTTACACTACTGTGTTTGCCATACATATTTATACGCAAATACCTTTGTAACTTTTTTCAACGTCAATGTCATCACATATATTAGAATTAGAATTTCCATAATTTTACTTTCTGTTACTTTTAAAATTTTATCAGCCTTTATCTTACTATATATTATATAAGTATTTAATATTTAATAAAAATTTCTGCTGAAAAAAACATATATCAAAGAATGAATCATATGCCAAAAAAATTAATTGACGTAGTATGATGTGATATACTAAGTGCGACAGATTAGTTAAACGCTAATCGAGAATGTGTTTTATCACGTTGAGTAAATTTTGAATTCCTGCGCGTTACATGCATGGAAATTTTATGCTCTGTATCTTTCCTATAGTATTTTTCTACTCTGTATTTTTTCAACACATATAAAAAGGCTTAATTTTTTTATGCGACATTTTTATATTAATATATAAAGAGATTCACGATCAAAATAATAAGATCTATAATCGCAGCAATTTTTCTAACTAAAATTTCTTATATGTATTTAACTAGTAAATACCTTTCTTTTTATTCTAAAACACACAATATTAATTAATATATTATTAATATCTCAAATATCATCACAAAAATCAATAAATATTCTCACAATTTACTCGAAATTTACGTCAATATTTCATAAATAATTATTCAATTTATTTGACTTAATATCCTTTATTCTTTGTTTTCACACACGTGTAATTATTTTAATGACTTATTATAATCGTTTGTTATAATCTGTCTCAATATATTCGTATCGTTAAAGAACTGACCTCTCGCACCACGCGTCCGCGAACTGATTATCGCACAATTGGAGGAGGTCAGGGCAGCAGTTTGTCTTCAATCCCGAGAAAACATCGGGTTTCTCTACGTTTTCTGTTACACCGGGTGACCTACTGTTCCTTTCTCGGAGATAAGAAGAAACGCGCCGCGATTACGGCTGCGTTATTTATCCATCTCCTCTCTTATCCACCACCGCGAGACTGTTTGCTCGAGCAAGATATATCTTTCTTATTCGCCCATCCTCAGATATCATTTCGAAGGATTATACTTCTAGCTGCCATCGATCACGCGATTTTTCCCTTTTGCTTCGGCACAAGGAGCGGACCGACGAGCGCGTCTATCGATCATTGCAGAGTGATTGATCGGCGCGCGCTGGATATATTGCAGGATCGTATAAAAATTTGTCGAAAGCAAGATCGAGAGAATTAAGGGTAACATCATCGCTCCTATGGATGTTGTTATGGATAATATAGAAAGGGACAAGTCTTATTAGAAATATTATTTTTTCTTTTCATTCAACACACAGAGAGAAAGAGAGAGCAGCTAGTACACGGTACCTGAGCAGCAATTACGAATATGATTGTTTCTCAGTCACTTTCAGATTCACCGAGTAACGTTCCATCGTTGTGATCTGAGAAAGGGACAAGTCTTATTAGAAATATTATTTTTACTTTTCATTCAACACAGAGAGAAAGAGAGAGCAGCTAGTACACGGTACCTGAGCAACAATTACGAATATGATTGTTTCTCAGTCACTTTCAGATTCACCGAGTAACGTTCCATCGTTGTGATCTGATAACTCATTAATTTTCTTATTTCTCATTTTTAGATCCCATACATTTATCATTTTATATTTTCAATTTTATAAAATATTACATTTATTATTTCATTCTTCTTTTTCCTTTAATTTCTTATTACTTACGTTATAAAATTCCTCGATATATAAAAGATGCTAGCTTATTGAGCTTACAACTTTTGTCTCGTATATCTGTGTTTCTCTATTGTATTCTTGGTAATTGTAAGTCCAGTTCTCGCGTTTTCAGAAAGATATTTCTTCTTTCCCTCGATAATATAGTTGCGTGACAATGAACTAGTTTGCTCTTGGTTTTCTAACGCGACAAATGAACCATGACATTAAAGAGTCCGATCTGTCCTTTTTGTCGTAATCATTGATATTGTCGACGACGATTAATAATTCACCATTTACTCCAATTAGCATTATCAAAAATACATTATCGGATAAAGAATAGTTTTTCACGAGCATATATAGAGCGTATTACAAACATATTAAGATGTAAAATTATACAAATAATTAAAACGATTAGAATTCTAAATTACAAAGAATTAATTTCGTAATTATAATTAACGTAAAGTATAGTTAATTACATTTAATAGTAAATAATTATATGTAATTTCTCTAGGTTTTCCACTTCGCAGAGGAAAGAGATAGTATCTTCGTTTCTCGGTGTCCAAATAAATACCGTTGGAGTCATCGACCCGCGTCGGCCACGACAATGTTATGCAAAATGCGGTTGGACGTAATAAGAAAGCAGCCCCTAGTACTTGTTGATTCGATTACTTAATATCATTGTATAGTTACGAGAAATCTCACCGGTTCTTTTTTCCTATGAAACCTTCAGTTTATACAGCGCGACGTAATTTTCTCGAAGACAGGTAAGTAGCGACGATAATCGCGGAGATACGTGATTGATGCAAAAAAGAGAAATTGCGATAATATAGATAAGCACATGGCGTAATTAGATATATAATAAAATAATAAAAGAGTAATAAAAGATTTGCTTCGCGTCAATAATTTTGATATTTTGGTAAAATAAATCATATTATCGTTATGCTTATTTCTAATTCGCATTAATTAATGCGAGACGCGTCTAACAAATGAGACATAATTTTTTGAAATCTGTTTCTTCTTTTTTGCAAAAATTAATGTTTCCAAACTTAAATTTCGGCAAATATTTATCTAAGTTATCGGGAACAATTTGTACATATGCTTGTATTTTCAGATCTGTATTTGTTCATATGGTTAATTTGATCACCAATCTCTGTCCCAAAATATGATAAATTACAGTTATATCATAGATAACAAGGGAAAAGATAGAGTAACAATAGAAACGTATAATTATAGTAAATGTTCGGAATGCTTTATGTGTCATCGTATTTAATATATTATCATCTTAAGAGTAGATGATCTAATTGATTGTTATATGAATTGATTATTTGATAAATCTCCTAAACTTGTACATTAATATACAATTAAATCACAGATTTATTTATCGCTCCAATATCTAGTAAATGTGTTTCGCGATAAGATGACTCTTGTCAGTAAAATACATTATACTTGATATACTTGACCATAATTTATTGATTGTTCAACATTATTTGCTGCTAACGATAAAATCGCGAATGATAATTTATTTGATCCTCTCACGATTGTGATGTAAAGCACTTTAATAGAATAATAAAATTGTATAGTTAAAAATAGAGATGAATAGACTAGAGAAACCAAGATCTTATAATTTTTGGCATTCATAAACAACCGTATGATCTATTTTTAAACCTATTTTATTTAGAATGAACGTCGAATGTAAGTGTAGGAAAATCTGAGGCACAAAACCGTTGATCAAAATACGATTAAAAAAAGTTTTTCAACAGTATTTTTAGTGAAATTTCATAATATACAGCGTGTCCTAGAGTTTATACTACAAACTGCGGAAGGATATTCTACAAGTGGAAATAAAAAAAAATATATAAAGTTTGGCTAGAAATGCTTTATTATAAAGATTAGCTTTATTACAACGAATTTTCCATTGAATCAGCGTATATCAGTGTATTCCTTTCTATTTTAAAATACTCTTGACATTTTGATGATAGTTGACACAACGATTGAAATCTAATAGCTATTGATGTAAAAGTAGCAATCTGAATCTTTTAAAGATAGTAAATGATATGAATACACAGATAAGATAAACACGTTCGATTTTTCATATTCTGCACAACGAAAAATCCGTTACCTATTTCATGTTCCGTTTCAATATATGCTTATAGTTTTGTAATAAAGCATTTCTAGCCAAATTTCATATATTTTTTTCTTATTTCCATTTGTAGAATATGCTCCTGCAGTTTGTCGGGTGAACCCTGAGACACCCTGTATATTAATAAAAATAAATAAACAATTTTTATATATTAAATTTGTATATATTATGTAAAGAAAATTCTAATATTCACAAAAATATTAAAATTATAATACAATCGAAATTTTTTAGCAAAAATAATTTAATTAAAGTAATAATTTCTCCATTTCAAATTAAAATTTACTTGTCGATGACTAAGTTTCGATCAGATAATTCCTTGGCAGCGCTTTACATAATATATAATGTTTATTTATATTGTTATCGTACATATATAGTATTTCTCATCAGAAACTACAAAAAATACTCTTCTATAAAAATTCAATTAAAATTCAATTAAAATTCATTCCACTTTTTTGCAGTTTTTAAAGTTTTATAATTATTTATATCAAATAAAAAATTTATATATTGCATGTTTTATAATAACACACATACTACACTTTACATGTATTAAAATTTTCTTCTCATGTCTATTTAAGATTAATTAAAGAGAACGAAATACTCTCTCCTTCTTTCTTTCACCTAATTACATTTTTGTATTTTAATTTGTCGAGAGACATTTTCCTTTGTTTCTGACAAAGAGAGAGAGAGAGAGAGAGAAAGCGTGTTAAATTTAGGTCGACGAGCAAACAGTAGATTTTGCGCATACGACACCGTGAGATAATCGTCAACAATGTATGCGGTGGTAAACATTTTCTGACGCGGAAGCTAAATCGCGAGCGCGCGCGCGTGCGGTGTGTTGATAATAATTTGGCAGGTACGTACATTTCGTGAATTCGTATGGTCGTGTGCGGAAATATACGGAATCATCGTGTAACGGGAGAGTGACGGCCGACCGGCCGTTGGCACAGTGGAGGGTTTTCTACATATAGAGGTGAGCGCGAGTCGCGAAACGATTCAGTCTTCTCGAAACCACGCAGCAATAAAATACAAGACGTGGATAAACAACAATAGCCGCGGGCACATTTGTTCTCCGCCAATGTGCCGATCGTTCGTGCAAATTTTTTGACGATTTTTTAACGGCCGGATCTTCGAGTTCGTGTAAAGTTTGTGCAACGTTGCAGCTGCCAATTCCTCCTCTTCCGGGTAAGAAATCCTTCTTCGTGGCATGAAAAATCGAAAATTAATAATTTCCTTTTCCACAATTGTATTGCTTGGCATCGAATATAGTAAATGAAAATTTTCCCGGTTTCTGTGCGATTGATAAAAATAACATATACTAACAAGTATGAAGAAATTTATTTTAAAATGCTACTTATTCTTGACCTTTTTTATCGGTTATCGTTGGTCATGTTAAAATCTTCCAATTTAAATATACTGAAACTAGAGTTTTCTTAGTATGCTCCTAAACTGCAAAAGCATATAATGCAGAATACATCATATAAGTCGGTTATCAATTATTACATACTTTATGATAATCAATCTGTTATCGAGAGATCTTTGAAAGTGGATTAAGCAAAATTAGTTAATAGTAAATAGCTACGGATTTTGTAACTACTATTTTATTCTATTTACTTCCTTAAAATTTCCGATATTTATAATATAAAATCAACATTTGTAACGTGCGCATAATTATAGATGCATCGCTGCGGAAATGAATTTTTTTGACAAATTTCGTAAATTGTATAAATTAGAATATCGAAAGTTTGCACAATAGAAAGAGAGAGAGAGAGAGAGAGAGAGAGCTGTTATCAAGCAGTAAAGACTCATTAAGCAGAGGATTAAGTGAGATTAGATAATAGTTACTTTAAAATTTTTTTCACGTTCACGTCATTAGAAAATCAATATTTATTTTATTTTACAAGCAGCACACACTTATCGATATAAAAATTGCGCGAACTAAAGTATCGGAAGCGCAGCGATTTATTCAATGTAAAGTCGCAACAAGCCGCGATCGATCGATAACGCGCGTACTAAATCACGGATTTAATTAACGAAATGCAATTGCATGGCAGTCATGAAACGTACGATTCAATCAGTTACGCGCGGGACGTCAAAGTTTGTTTGACAGCTCGGAAAACTCAGCTTTCCATTTGTTTGTTATTTGCATGTTGATATAATTATTATTCGATCTGACAAAGGACCCCGCACTATTCTTATGAGAAAATGTCTTTCTACGGATTTGTCTAATTTTTGGATATGTTGTAGTTCTCGTCATTCTGAACAAATGTTTCAAGGGGCATGATGTCCCAAGCAACTTGATCATAAATCTTCCAAATTTAACATGTAAAGATATAGGCTTTTCAACTCGATATATGTGACCTTCGGTTGAATGTGCATGTGTGTATATATGTATGTGGGAGTGTTAATCATTGACAATAATAATGATCAATAATAATTTTTTATCTTTAACTTGACTATATTAGTGTTAATTATTGTTAAAAGCCATATGAAGACAACAAATTTACGTGGTACAATCCAGTATATTTGGATTTCTAATATATGTCAATTATAAAAGTGGACATATATTGTGTATGTATTGAGTTGAACGAAAAGTTTGTGCCGTTTTTTCAGCCTTCATCTGTTAGCAAAAAACGGCACAAACTTTTCGTTCAACCATAAAAGCCTATACATTTACATGTTAAATCTGGACCTTCCAGAACTTGTAGCGCGAAAATGGCTCGTAGGATCAAATTGGGCTTATTGAGACATTTGTTCAGAATAACGAAGACTACAACATATCCAAAAATTCTTCAGTTCTTTCGACTAATTGTCGAATTCAATAAGATATTGATATTTACATTATCATCAATCATCTCTATTTGCCATAGATATTCTAATGTCGCAAAGTCGATAAAAAAGTATGTCAAGAATCGGTTTTTTTTTATTTTGCGACTTGTTAACAGAAACTTTAATAAGCAGATTTCGTCAAAAAATGTTATTAACATTTATCAAAGAATTTTATTAATAATTAACAGAATCTAAAATATGCTAGAATTTTATCGGGATTTACTACAATTACGGTAATTTACTGCAGTAAAAATATCAAGTCATTTCAAAGTACAGTAGCAATTGATAAGATAACGAGAAAAAAATATATGCATTGCCAACTTATTTGCATCGGTGTAAACTCATTCTTCCGTTGCAATTTCAAATAAGGACATTACAGAGTGAAGAGACACGCGATTACCGTAATTTATTGCCATAATTTAAATTCATAAATAATATAATCTATATCAATAATAGTATAAAGTAATATAATCACTATAACCTATATTTTCAGTGATCGTTTAATTGTGTCGATATGGAGCAAAATGGTGTATCGATAATATCTCCACCGGGTGTCACGGAAAATTCTGTCGGAAAGTCCAAGAGCATCGGTATCACGCTAAGATCTGGCAGCTTACAATCGGCTAAGGAAAAGTTGAAGGCACCCTGTGAGTATGAATTAATGGTGCAATTACAATCGAATCGAAAACGGCTTCGAAAATGTACAGATTTTAATAGAAACTCATATCGAAAATCAAATGCAAATTAAAAACAGTTTGCAAGTATATTTAATACAAGTTTTAATATAATGTTTTGTGGAAAAATTTCTGTGGTACAAAACTTGGTAATTTTTTTCAATGGCAAATTTCTACGTTACGCATATTTTTTTTTTTTTTCTTTAAGAAGAGTCGATTTTCGAATTTTTTAAGATAAATTTCGCATTAGATAGTTCACTTTTGTACAGAGTTTAATTGAAATTGGATAATCAGATTTTATTTCCATTTTATATCGATATGGTTTGCAGAAATTTACGTTTAAAAAAATAGCACGATGCATTACTGAATATTAACGCGACCGAGTGAATAATGGCGCCTCTAGTTTAGTAGAATGACAAATTTTCATGTGTGTGAAACTATTTGGAACAAATTTCATTATAATTCGTAGAGGTTACCGTCCTATTAGAATATGGAACTTATTTTGCAGCTATTTTCGCACAAAGGTATATATCAATCTAGATCTCAAACTTTTAATTCGGAATCATCTAATTTTGCAGCGATTAATCATTCTTTCGCGAACAATGCCTGCTCCAAGAAATATTGAATATTGTTAGATCGAGAATACAATTGTAAAATATTTTTATTCGTCAATAAGCAAATTAAATTTTTTTGAAACGATTATTGATCAATCTTTCTGCTAATGTAATATAAAATAATGAAGAGAAAGGATATTAGCAAAAAACATTTACAATAGAAGCAAATACTGAAAAAAAGTACTAGGATGTTTTAGTAATAAATCCTATCTGAAATTTCTTCTCTAACGGCAATCTTGTATTTAATTCTTGATTCTAAATTATCAATCAAACGTTATAATAAATTTTACTAAAATCTTTAAGTTAAAATTATATTAAAAAATGCTGTTTTTTCATCTTTATTTCATTTTCTGATATCTATGATTGTCAAGACGACAATTCCTGAGAGATCTTGCACGCTTTAAATATTAAAAAAAATATGAAACTTTTATAATTTTTACTTTTTTATTCATATATATACATATATATGTATAATATGGGATTCTCGCCGCGAAAATTTCGCGGCTTCCTATTCGGGAAAAAGGAACGTACAGAGAATTCGTTTCGCGGTGAAGTTTCATAGGAAGAATCGATCGTGTAACAAAATGGAAAGGCCTCGCGAACGATCATTCGTTCCTGCTTTCAAGATTGACCTTAAACTCACGGAATCGTCTGCTATCGCGAGTCGACCGACCTCCTATTCACATCCCGCCGGTTTTCTCGGTGAAAGAAAGAAGAAAGCGGAGGTTGCATTATACTGAGCGCATGCTAAGCGACGCTCTACGAGTATTCCCGACCTGAAAATTGGGTCGGAAATCGGATTTGCGAGTCTCCGGGGGAAATTTCTCTCTTTCGCGCGTTGCATTCCCATAGCGCATCTCGCCGTATCAGCGGCATCCTTGATACGAGAAAATTAAGAAAATTAAGTAAATTCTCGTGCTTAAGGATAATATCATCGCAAGTCGCACCTGCCATTTATTATGCAAAAAAATATTCAGTTCCGGAAACGATTCACGTTTCAACCACGTGACTTCACAAATAGATTATATTCTCGATATGATCTTTAAGATTGTATAATTTCTTTCCTGTAAAATCAATAGCGATCTAATCTATTTACAGATTCACAGATTATATTTTTCTAAATTATCAAATAATCTTTTCTTTCATTAAAATGAAAGAAGAGTTTCAGTAGTTTCAACCATCGTAATGCGACGAGAGTTTTCAATCGGCGGCGCGTTTCGCTGTTTGATCTAGAAAGCGGATTGTGTTTCTTTTGACGAGCGTATTTCGGTCGTTTCTCTAGGAAAAAGAAAGTGCATAATGCTACCGCATCAGGAAACACGGTTGCTCGGATGTTTTTACGAGGCACGTACGCGAGGAGTCTCTCGTTAATGAAATTAGATGATAATTATAAAGCGGGACGCGTACATGCTTAGCACCAAGCTTCTTTTTTCTTGCTCTTTTCTCTTTCGTTTTACAAGCGTGGAAAAATGATGTGTTTGGAGATCTTAATTTCAGGAGAGTCGATCTCTTGTTTTTAGCTCCTCTAGCATGTTACACGCTTCGCAGCGTATCTACATCGCGAGATATTAATTAACTTGAAGCATCATTTCCCTCGGACATCCTCACAATGCGTTCTGCGAAAGTCTTAGATCCGATAAATGATGAAAAAAAAAAAGAGGATGCGGGTGAGAGGAATTGATTATTCCCGAATGGCTTTTTGTGGATTGTATCTTCCTGAGAAAATCTAGGGAAACAGATATCGCACGCGGAATATTGAATTATTCGCGTGCACTTTCACCCGCAATCGCGATGTAAGTTCAATTTATAGTCGCGAATATACACGCGATAGTCTTCGGGAATTAATTAGAATTTAATATAGCGCGTGGAGAGTTGCGTGAAGAATAAATATTTGGATGCGGGTCACGTACCGCCTCATAATCCCTTCTTAGAACATTGCGGTAAATGATTAGAAACTTGTTCATGCCATGTTGATGTAAATACTTTGGATAATTTGTTTCGAAATTCGTTAAAAGCCTACAAATATTCATTTGCATTGACAAACTAAGTGTTAAAACAAAAATCCTTCAAAAATAGTTGAGATATTTTATAAATAATTTCCTCCTTTAAATTCAAGATGAAATTTTGAGAGAAAGAGAGAGAAATGTACTTCAAATAATATTTTTCAATACAAGAACATTCGTGCATTATAATTTGTATACCAATTTAAAGAAACATAATTAAGAGAGAAAAATTAAGAGAGAAAAATTAAGAGAGAAAATAGAATAACGGAGTAGTTCTTTGCCTCTTGCACGGCATAGAAAGTAGTTCGAGAACGATAGATTGTACAAGACGGGAGTGTATACTTGTACTCGATTTGATGAAAGGAAATTTTGAAACTCCAGTGTTTAAGAATCGCTTGCATTATAATGCCGGCGACATCGCCAACGATCGCGGAAAACCTCTATCGTTGTAATTATTTTTTTATGTCATCATGTTATATGACAGTTTATTATTACAGTTTTCGTAATAATATCATTAATCTGGAAACGCGCGGTCGCCTCATAAAAATTTCCGCGTGCATCGCGAATATTACGTCATTTTTATTGTTAAAGATGCACAATGCAACGCAAATTTCTGATGTAAGTTTCTACACGAGATATTTATAATGCAGATACATCAATGTCAGCGATAAATATTTTTCGTTGTCTTGTCAGGCGCTTAAAGAAGTTCAGTCTGTCGATGGCGATCGGTGACAGCAAATTATGTAAATGCATGCAAAATATTTTCGACGGATTGAGATTGTTTTTTGTAAAATTTCGTAATAAGAGCAGTGCAAATAGCGAAATATGAAATATATGTAAACACAAATTGTAATAAAAGCGTTTTCGGCTTCATTGTAGACGCACAAAATAAATCGCGCACAAGTAAAAAATCAATAATAATTTTCCTTTTTTCTCCATTATCATAATCTCTTCGCTATATGCTTTTTATCGTATTCATACGATCTTTTAAGTCTTTTAATTCACATTCATCGAAATCTAGGGAATTCGCATAGTTGATATTATCGCTGTAAAACTGCTCCGGATTCCTGAGACGACATAATTATTGCCAGATTGGGGAGCCTGCTGTAAATCGAACAAGCGGTGCTTTGAGAAAATTTAGTACATCGCGATATTCTCGAGTTTTAGAAAATCCAGAGTTTCACTCTTTCTCGTTACGATTTATCGTGACAATCGCGTTGTAATTTACCGATACTTCCTCCGTATCCGTTCTCACGATGGTGCTCCGCTTCCATCACGATATGCGCGACGATATAGCAGGTAGACACTAAAATGTCATGGGAATGCAATCAAAGGCGAGACAATGGTCTTTTGTGTCGCAGTATAACGCGATCTTATTATTATTTATCCGCGTATTTCTCCGCGGCAAATGTTTTTGGAACGAATTTTCAAGATAGATACGCATTAATTCGAGAGAATAATAAAAACTAATATTAATATAATAGAAATACATGGCATTATATATAATTGATATTATATATGTCATTAATAATTAGTAAATGTTAAGATAATTAATGAATAAAATTAAAAATATAGACTAAAAAGATTTATAAGCCAAATTTCATAAATATCATAATTAAGATATTAATATATAATTACAATTAATACATTATAACTTTGCAATATTAATTGAAATATTTCTGTAGCATTTAACAGCGCTGGAAACTTTAGAGATGATTCTCTCATAATTCATAAACATATTCATGATATAATACGAAGCGTTTTATACGCATTTCGATCGTGTCTGAAACTTCAGGCACGTCAGAGGAAGTATGTTTCGTATCCCGAAGCACGGGTGCTCCTGCTGATCTCGTGATAAAATTTCGAGAATGAAAATTCAGCGGGAGGGAAGGAATGCGAGCAGCTCGGTGGCGAGTGCCTATGTAAAAATGCCGTTAATCTCTTTCTCGGTTGCCGCTAAAAATTGAGACGGCGCCGATGACGGAAGAAAGATGGTATCGGCATATCTTACGAGCGGGTACATCGAGTCTGACTCGACAGTCACCATGCTCCGGCCATTCACATCGCGAACTTGACCCACTGTCACACTTGCAGCAACGGTACGCGATGTTATACTCTCTGCCGCGTATTCCGCGTAAGAAAAAGACTACCGTATATCTTTTTCCGCTATGACTTTTGAGGAGTCTATCGCCGGATATCTTCGCAGACGTACAGCAATGATGTAATAACTATAGAGATAAAATTCTCACGCCGGTCAATAAGTCCGTACATATTCATTATGCTATATATATTATAATCAATTTTTTGTACAGTTCGAAAAAGAAGGAGGTTATCAGGTTGTCGACTTGACACTCGA